GAACATTTCCCATCAACCACCACCCTCTGTCTTCTTACAGCTAGCCAATTTCTGATCCAAACCGCTAAATCACCCTCAATCCCATGCCTCCGTATTTTCTGCAATAGCCTACCATGGGGAACCTTATCAAACGCTTTACTGAAATCCATATACACCACATCAACCGCTTTACCCTCATCCACCTGATTGGTCACCTTCTCAAAGAACTCAATAAGGTTTGTGAGGCACGACCTACCCTTCACAAAACCGTGTTGACTATCCCTAATCAAATTATTCCTTTCTAGATGATTATAAATCCTATCTCTTATAATCCTTTCCAACACTTTACCCACAACCGAAGTAAGGCTCACTGGTCTATAATTGCCAGGGTTGTCTCTACTCCCCTCCTTGAACAAGGGGACAACATTTGCTAGTCTCCATTCTTGTGGCACTATTCCTGAAGGCAATGACGACATAAAGATTAAAGCCAAAGGCTCTGCAATCTCCTCTCTAGCTTCCCAGAGAATCCTAGGATAAATCCCATCTGGCCCAGGGGACTTATCTATTTTCACACCTTCCAGAATTGCTAACACCTCCTCCTTATGAACCTCAATCCCGTCTAGTCTAATAGACTGTATCTCAGTATTCTCCTCGACAACATTGTCTTTTTCCTGTGTGAATACTGACGAAAAATATTCATTTAGCACCTCTCCTATCTCTTCGGACTCCACGCACAACTTCCCACTACTGTCCTTGACCGGCCCTAATCTTACTCTAGTCATTACTGATCAAGAACCTAGCTATCTCAGCCTTAAATATACACAACGATTGTGTCCCCTCAGCTCTCTGTGGCAAAGAATTCCAAAGACTCCCAACTCTCTGAGAGAAGAAATTCTTCCTCATCTCAGTCTTAAATAGGTACCCGTTTATTCTGAGATTATGCCCTCTGGTTCTAGACTTTCCCATGAGGGGAAACCTCCTCTGAGCATTTATCCTGTCAAGTTCTTTAAGAACCTTGAATGAGTTCACCTCTCTAAACTGCAGAGAGTAGAGTCCCAACCTGTTTAGCTTTTGCTCGTAAGACAATCCTTCCATACTGAGTTCAATGTAGTGAACCTTCTCTGAACTGCCTGCAGTGAAATATTTTTCTTTCAAAAACATAGACTAAAACTGCTCACTTTATTCCAGATATGGCCTCACAAGCACTTTTACAGTTGCAGCAAGACTTTCCTACTCTTGTCCTCCAGCCCCCTTGAAATAAGGGCCAACATTCATTAACCTTCTTGATTACCTGCTGCACTAGCATGCCAACTTTTGGTGTTTCATGTACAAGTACCCCGAAGTCCCTTCGTGTTGCAGCTTTCTGCAGTTTTTTTTCCATTTAATTAATATTCTGTTCTTTTGTTCTCCCTTCCAAAATGAACAACTTCATATTTACCAGCATTATACTCCATTTGCTATCATTTTACCAACTTATTTAACCTATCAAAATCTTTCTGTAAACTGTTTGTATTCCTCTCACATCTTTTTTTGTTTCATCTGCAAATTTGGCAACAATACGTTCACTTCCTTCTTCCATGTCATTATTATATATTGTAAACAGTTGTAGTCCCAGCACTAATGCTTGTGGTTACAGATTACCAATCTGAAAAGGAGCCATTATCCATACCCACGGTTTCCTGCCCATTAGCTAATTCTCTATCCATGCCAGTACATCCTCACGGTCTCTTTCTTATGACAGTATTTTGTGAGATCCTGGCCAAACAATTCCCTGCAAGAGCCAATCAATGTTCTATATCCCTTGCTTTCAGCAGCATTATATTCTACTCTTCAGAGATTGCAAATATGACTGAAGGCTTCATGTTAGGAATGTTACCCTTACAGATTGCCATGGAAATGCTACACACTCCAGTAAAGACTACATATCAATGAAACAGTCAAACTATGAATGTAAGCATCCTGCCCTCTTCCTTCCTCAGACCAACAATGCATTTTCCTAAAAGAAATTCTCAACATTAAAGCAAACTGACGCCCTGTTAAAGCAACCATCCCATTTTGTTACAGCTAGTTCCCATGACTCTCATTCCTGAGCTAACCTAAAGAATGGAATTGTGCCTCAGTTAAAGGGGCACTACTTTCTAGAAAATAAAATTTGCACCTTAAATTTTTGATGTCTCCAACTACACTATTTCATAAATAAAAACGGTTTCTTAAAAATGTCTTTCTGGTACTAATGAGTCTAGGTATACTGATCATTCTTATCTCAAATCTGTAATTTGGAATGAACAATCAGTTTTATTGAGATCTGTTGGTTTTTGCTTTGGACAGGTCTTCAAATTAATACCTTAGCAACTTAACAATGTGTGTTTCATTGTATGCAGGGAATGAACTTTAACCTGAGATTCACTTGTGTTCCTATAAATAGGAATACCTGAAATTGGGACTTGTTAAGTTTGGAGATCGTACTAAAGAAAATCAATCTGAAAATGTGTGTTTCTCTGCAGTTGCTACTGAGTCTGCTGAGTCTATCCTGCATTTTAGTTTTTTGACTTATTTCCAGCATCCGCAGTATTTTGCTCTATTTTCGGGTTTGGGTTGCCTATTTGTGATGTATGTCTTTGCAAAAAGAAGCTTATGAATGCATAAATCTATGCTGCAGTTCTTTCCTTCACTGCCTTATTATCTTAATTTTAGTATTCTGATCCATGAGGTCAGCCTAGCTGGACAAGAAAATAAACCAACATCTTGCCTTTTCTTACCTGATCTTGGAATGCTCACATCATCCTTGTGAGCTGTGTGAGGATGGCTGGGGTGAGGTTAGTTTCTGAGAATTATATTCCTTACCTCAGAGAATTGCTACAAAGTCAAATGTAGAAATAAGAAAGAAACAGGTAGCACCTGCAGTTGCAAAGGATCGGATAATTTTGTCCTCCTGCTGCTTAGCCCACAGTCACAGAGTCACCTTTCTATCCGATGCCTGTTATCGAACTGCAGTTCCCTCCTTCTCCCCTTACTCCTGTGGTTATATATTAGCGTAAAAGGGATCAACAACTGACCTGAAACAAACAAGCATAGGTGTCCTACATTAGCGCAGCAGTCACTTGCATGAGTCATCCGATGCATATTAATTTAAGAGGGCATTTATAAAGATTGGTAAAACTTATTGACCACACTATGCTCTGCTCAGTTAATGTTTCCTCTGTTTCCAATTGACTGTGCAAAAATATCTTGATGGCACTACAAAAGGCTCAGGGATGTTAATGGAGCTTGATGTCATAATGTGGTGCTTTTAATACTTCTAATGTGAATGGGTTAGGATAATTGAAGACCTTATTATTCATTTTGATGGATCTTTGAAATGACATATTCACTGTGCAGAAAGTGAAGTGGATCTGACAACCCAATATAAACTGTCAGAAGATATACTAATGACTAAGGATAAGACCAGTTTTAGATGGTTGTGCTTTAGAAACTTTTTCTTTACATTGCAAATTTAAAAAGACAGTTTTCGTTTGTTGGACAAAAGCTGCAATTAAGAGCTATCAAAAACATTATCCACATGAAATCGTCCTCAGAAACATCAGCTTTCTGAGCAAAGCTTCCAACATTAGTTTCTTTTCCTCCTTGCCACTCTTGAAAAACACGCATTTTTTAGAATTTAGAATATGTGAACATAGACAGTGGGTGGCATTAAATTATTCAGTTATGCTGGAATTCATGTCTGAGACCAATCTTGTCCTCATTCACAGTCCCCACGCACTAATTGATTTTTCCCTCCCTTTTTCTCTGCATCTTTCACCATGATTTCATTCACATTTCTTGCATTTAGTTAATATACCACGCAGGCTTGGAAATCTCAATCACAAATGCTTCCATAATAAAAAAAGCCAGCTAAAGACTACTTCCTAAGCTAAGGCAAGTTTATTGACAGTCAAAGTTTCACAAACTGTGCCTGAAAACTCTCTCAGTCCCTTGAGTGAGTTTGTTAGCAAGTTTGAGCAACTGTCAAATGATAGCATTATTTGTCAGGAGACTATTTGTTTATTCAAATAAATTTCTGGATGCTTGGAATCATTCCTTAGGAACATTTGCTTGCAACACTAGTGTTTTATAAATTATTTTAACATTTATTTTGGGGGAACTGTAATGACGTCAACAGAGAATGATCACAAAATTCTGCCCGATATAGATGTCATCTTATCATTTCAGATTGGCATAGCAATGGCTGATGAGATGAAATGCTGACCATTAACAATGTAGACTTGATTGACAGTGCAATGGCGAAGCCAAATGAAGAACCAACTCACAAAGTATAATACTCCATATGGACTCTGAACTCTCAACTCAAAGCCTTATCTCATCTAATGAATTACTATGAACCTAACATTGTGCATTAGATAGAATCAGTGGTGTTCAACTGTAGCAGCAAAAGAGCAAAAATTTAAGAACAGCTCAGACTGTTATTGTCAAACTGTGATCTACGTTTAATAATGATGAGTGGTGGCATTACTCTCCAAATTCAAAGTTGAAGGTGTGATCATCAACGTATTTAGTTGTTGACATTTTATCAGGCAGTGAAATTGGTATTCATTTTCATCAGGAAAGATAATGCACATTGTTACTTAAAAATATAAACTATACAGTATGAAAACTTAATTTTAAGTCTGAATATACCAGATGATGTGCTAAATATTAAAATTTAATCTCAGGATTTATTTTGTTATTGAAAGCTACCTGCACCTCAGCAAAGCAGAACTAGACTGGACTGATTAAATATTTTCTCAGAGTGCTACGATACAGCATATGTAAAGAAATTAGGTTAATAACACACTGGTCAATTAATTTACTAACTTCTGGTTGTTATATTTATTTATTACTGGTTATCGATGACTGTAAAAGCTCTCGTTTTCCAACAGTTTTTTAAAGAGTGATGCTTGTGTTGAGGTAAGCGTCTCCAGTATATCCCAAGAAGCTACAGTCTTTACAGTTCAGCAGTCTGTCCTTTTCTTTCCCCACCACAGGATGTGCATTTGTGAAATTTTCCGCACATGCAGAAGCCCAGGCAGCCATCAACGCCTTACACGGTAGCCAGACGATGCCAGTAAGTACAAGCAGAGAAATTGAATTGTTTTAAATTCTTACATTATTTGACAAATCCCGAAGCAATTTAAAGGTAATATGGAAAACAAAATCTACACTACTGATAATGACATGTCATCAAGAAAACGCTGATTTTCACTTTTATTCAATCAAAATTATCTGGGCATTTTCATTGTCATCAACACAACATCTTAGAAAAGAATTTTGCACCTCTTTCTTTTGTGGCCTTTTCTGTATGAAGCAAGAGTTCACATTGGCTAATGGTAACTCTGTGGTGCTTGAATTATGGTGCTTTCTCTCCATCAATGCTATGATTGTGCTTAGGAGGCATCTCCAATGGGATGGACTTGGAGTTTCTATAAAGTGCACATGAGAATTATACTTGGATTACATTTAAGCCACTGCAACTTCCTCTTTATAATAATAACGTGTACTTGTTACTGCGCTCTTAAGCAGCCAGTAGAGATGAGGAAATGTGATAAAGGTTTAACCATTCACTGTAATTTGCATTAATTATAATCACATACTTCAGTTACAAAGGATTTTGGTACCAAAAATGAGTGAATAAGTTTACAGAGTACATTTGTCAAATTCTACTCAAACTGAAATACTCTATTTTTGGTAAGTAAATGGATTTTATAATGGGAAACATTTTTAGAAGCATTATGTATGAGCATCAGCTATGTCAACATGCACAGTACATACACTCAAAACTGCTTTTACTTTTAGTTTGTAAAGTTCACATGAGTATTTCAGGTTTTCCTTGCTGTGGCCCTAGGCAACTCAGTATTGAGTTTGTTACTTGTGAAAATTGCTGACATTTTACACCTATGCTATGAGAGTCAAAACAGGTTCAAATTCTGTCGCACACCAATTACCCCACCAATTCCCATGAAATTAAATGAAAAGTTTGCAAAATAAACACAATCAACAAACAAACCTTATTTCTCACATTTCAAAATGGCAACCACTTCTACTGAAATTAGCATTTTATACTCGGTATATTACTGTTTATGGAAAGGATTTTTGAAGCTTAAAAGCCAACGTTTATGCCATGATCTAGGGCAATTTATAAATTAGGATTATTTATTAAATCTCATAATATAATATTATACAAGTAGGATTTCCAAACAATCAGAATTTATATCAAATAACAATTATGCATACTGCTGACTATTAGGCACATACCTATTGTTTGGTGAAATTTAGGAGGAATTCTTTGTAAAAATGAACAATACGTTCCATGATTGTTAACTCTTGCCTCGGTGTTATACGGGTGTAATTTAGACCCCATCCAAAGATCTCAGCATAGAATCTTGACTGGAGTATCAGTGCAATTTCTTTGAGTTGACATAAATGCCAGGCTTCAAACTAAACATTAAATTTAATCAAGAGATGGTAAAGCTATTACAGAAGATAAAAAGATTGGCATTCTGCTGGGATAAGATAAAATGGGCCATACAGCATTATTCATATGAATTTTTCTAATATATTCAAATTGAGGGAAATTGTCTTAAATGAATTGAATTTGAAGGAAAGTGGGATGGATTATTAACGAAAATATGAATCTTACAGTAATGGGAGTTAAACTACCAAGGAAACAGCTTATAAACCTATAAAATTAAGTTTTGGACCTAGATGTTGTGGTCAGAAGCAAATAATGATGCTCGAGTTTGATCTCAAGACAAACTTCCCACAAAAATAAAGCAATGTCTGTGATATAAACTTTCCCATTCCTAATGGAGTTTAAATCTTGTGCCCAGTCAAGGGAATCTCCAGGCATCTGTGGTTATTTTAGTCTTTCAATCAGGGTCAACTGCAACCAACAGGATGGCTATGTGGAGTTTAGTCAAAGTTCGAAACAGGATATAGCACTAGTGATGCAGCAGAACATAAGACCAGTAGCAAGCATCAGTCGAGATCAGGCAGGATGTCTGGCATACATAGGTAGCTCCTTTTTTTCTTCTTATTCCACTTTTCCTCCAGGTGTCTTAGTCCCTGACAATTTCTCAAACTAATCAAGGATGTGAGCATGGAACTACCCTTAGGAGTATCTCTCTACCACCTATTAAACTGAAATCTCTCAAGAGCTCTTACTTTATAATTTTTTTTTTCGGGTGGAGTTAGATTAATAACAAGGCCATTTTGCACCATAAAGACTTAGTTTATTTCAAAATATCTTTAAAACAATGAAATCTTTGTTGAAACCTTGGTTTGGAGAATTTTAATGTCATTCACCTGCTGTTAGCTTCTTGAGCCTTTGTACATATCATCTGCCTTCATTTAACTAAGTCTTACATCATTCTTTCCTCACTCCATTCTCCCAAGAACAATTCTATCTCTAGCCTTCAGACTAGCTCTCAAGAAGTTTCATTAATTGCATTTGTCCATGACCAGTTGTTTATGTCTAAGGCTGTTCATAAAACCTGTTAACAAGCTTGCTCATAAATAGCATTTGGTCCAGTCTTCTTATTAGTTATCAAAATGTTGAACCATGGATTGATTCACCAAGGTAACTTCTATTCTACTTCCACACACTAATTAACGTATCTATTTCAGCAGACATCTTAATTAAACAAAGATAAATGAAAAGTCTGCCATAGCTTTGTAGTATAGTTGTTGATTTAAGTATCTGTCCAGTTGCTATCCCACTAGGCCTCATTTGTCCATGGCTCCTTGTTAGGCTAGCTATTCTAAGAACAATATTCTCCTCACTTTGTTTCTAGTGAAAAAAATCTTAAGTACTTTTCAGGAATATGAAAATTACAGCACTACCCTATTCCTTTGCCTATTTCAGGCTCACATTTTATGCATTTTTTTCATTTGTAATAAATCCAGCAGAGTTAGTAAGCAATGTAAGCAGCCAATCACATTGAAATATTCCCATAGACAGCAACTGAAAACTTATCGCTTATCATTTCAAACATCGAATAGCAATACATGATTGGACTTAGATAAAAGCTAAGCTAGAGATAAAAATACATTTTTAATTACTTTCTTAAAAATAACATATGAAGCTTTATATCAAACTGGCCATTGCACAAATTCAATATTTGCTCATCAGAGTCAGCAAGGATGTTTAGCAGTTATCATTAACTTAGTGTGCCAATAAAAACCCAGTTACACCTAATTCAACAAAGTGTAAATTTTAAAGGGTGAAAGTCTTTATGAAGTGCAATGATTAATTAGAGATGGCACTTTGGGAGGACTTCAAAAAGCACACCATCTATACGAACATTGGATAACTTACAGCAATTTCCGGATGGTAATCTGAGCATATTGCAGAATCCAAACTCACTGTTAGAATCGGCGGATTCATGGGGGTGAATTTTACCAAAAATCAGTTCAAAGTAAATTTCGGGCAAGTTCACGATGGTCTCTCTCCATGTGCTTTAGCAGGTTATCTCTCACAATTCTCCACTGCTCACCTCATTACTCATACACCACAACTTGATGGCGCAATTCTAGTGCTATCATAAACTCGTAAGCTCCAGAAGTAATTACCATTACCAGGACTCTCTGGGATTTCTACTTCAAGTGCCATATTTAAAACAAAGCTGTGCACCAAGTCAATCACTGCCAGCCAGGAATAACCCTTCATGATATGCATAGTGGGAAGAAACAAAAAAGGAAAAGGCTCTGAGGTCATTTGGATGGCATGGGTGACACTTTATGTGGCATAGCTGAAATTAAGGGGAGGCAATGGCACAGTGGTAATGTCACTGGAATAGAAACGCAAAGCCCACAGTAATGTTCTGGGGCATAGGAACAAATCCCCATGAATTCCATTAAAAGTCTAGCCAGTGGTGACCATGATACCATTGCTGATTGCCACAAAGACCTATCTGGTTCACTAATGTCCTTTAGGGAAGGTGATGAGCCATCTTCACCAGGTCTGGCCTACATGTGATTCCAGACCCACGCCAATGTTGTTGACTCTGAATTGTTGTCTGGGCAATTAGGAAGTGACAGTAAGAATCAGCTTAGTCAGCAACACCCACACCATCATATATAAAATAAAATAATTTGAGAAGTAGAAGCTCACATTTGTAAATGTACACCCACTCTCCATCATCACTTGTCTCATCAACTGAACTACAAGAATCAAGCTACACGAGATACCCATTCTTAGAGCTCTACCATCTATGAACCGTGTCTAAAGGAGCACTATTCTTTCCTTCATATAAAATTTTTCATTGTTGAGGACTGACTGTGATCCACTCCTCAGACAGTAATGATTTGGAACCCCTGTCCCTGTCTGCTGCAAGCGAACTGACTGGCTACGTTCAAGCACCTAGACTGACATCAGACAATATCCTTGACTTACTCTGTCCATGCCCCTCACTGATGACAGTCCCCCTTGACTTTACTGAGGACCGCTCCCCTTAGACTTTCAGACACGGGTCATTTGGTTGAAGCAAATGTAGTATGTCTCCTTCTTATACATGGTGCAGGTGAGAGATTGACATAACTTATTGCCTTCCAGTGACATGACACCCTCTTGACTGATCATTGCTGGTAAAGCCACTTGGCTTTGTGTCTGCCCAAAGAGGCAAGGCAAGACAGAAATACTGTGAGCCTATTAGTTCTGATTGATGTGGCAATGCACAAAAAGCCAAGACAAGACAGGGTTAAGGCTTTAGCAAACAGGGTTAAGGAAAATCCCAAAGCCTTTTATTCATACATAAGGAGCAAGAGGGTAACTAGAGAAAGGGTTGGCCCACTCAAGGACAAAGGAAGGAAGTTATGCGAGGAGTCAGAGAAAATGAGTGAAATTCTTAATGAGTACTTTGCGTCGGTATTCACTGAGGAGAGGGACATGACGGATGTTGAGGTTAGGGATAGATGTTTAATTACTCTAGGTCAAGTCAGCGTAAGGAGGGGGGAAGTGTTGGGTATTCTAAAAGTCATTAGGGTGGACAAGTCCCCAGGTCCGGATGGGATCTATCCCAGGTTACTGAGGGACGCAAGAGAAGAAATAGCTGGGGCCTTAACAGATAT